AAATTTCAATTCCAATAAGGTTTTCTTTTATACTTTAGATTTAGTGCTCTTTCTCTCAGATCGAATCGCTTTTCGTTTATGATTAATTAAGTTCTGTGCCCAAGGGCTAATAGCGCGTATTATCTAGTATCGAATTTCAAACTAACAAATACATTCAACTACGCAGAAAAGTTAGCTTTTCATTTTTAATGGAACGGTACCAACGTACTTTAAGCAGTTTTGACTCCAGTTCAGCAAACTTTGTTTTGCATTGTGTAATGGTGTCGTCGAAAGCTTTCCAAACCTTATCTAAAATAATAAAAGACTATAAACTATAATATCATTTTTGTCAATTCGCTCGATTCTGAATGGTTAAAAACCGTGCCGATTATTAAACATTCATACGCACATCGTCTGTATTAAAGATTAATCGGCACGAATACGGGCCCGCGTGGAGTAAGCACAATATGTCAAAATCTAAATAAACAACTTGAAAATTTACAGTTTTGGAGCTCTTATTTTGCATTGAGCTCTTATTTATGCTTTCATAACGAAGAAAAAGAAAAGATAGAGATTATTCACAGTTTTAATAAGTATGAACTGAATTTAAATTGATATCAGAATTGTTCTCAATGGCTCAAAAAAGATTATTAAAAAAAAAGATTATTAAAGATGCTGTAAAGTCCGTTATGCATGCGCATATATTCTGCGCATCAACACATTCCATCAGTGGGAGAGCAACCTTTGGAATGTTGTTAATATTTCGCACCTTCCGAACTTTCTTGAATTGAATCTCTAGTCTGCATTCATTTACAAGCATAGCGAACCGGAAGAGTGTTAAAAATTCAGTAAAATATATATGTAATCATATTTTACAACTGTAGCACTGAGTTCAAAATGTAAACAAAGCTTTTGTTTACATTACGGACTTTACATCACCCGAAGGTCATCAAGCAGCCATTAAAATAGCGTGTATTTTCAGTGACACACTTTGTGTCCTTGTAAAAGGGAAATATATGTGTCCTTGTAAATTGAAAACGTGTATACTGTACTTGGGACAGGATACTTGGTCTTGGGAATAAAGCTAGCCCGGAAAATCTATTTCCAGCCATTTCCTACAGCAATTTGTTTAAAGTAATCATGCGTTTATTGCCTGATGATAGCCAGATATATTTGTGGTTTATATATATTTCTGTTTTTTCTGTTTAAAACATATCAAGAAATGCCTGTACAATTGCCAACGGCCGGCTTCTATTATTTTCCTATAGGCGGTTTCATGATAATGGCAATAACCACTGATTGGCAATATACCGCACTGACATATATATATACATGCATTGGTCACATTTGCATGACCAGTCTGATTTCGTGGCTCAAGATATGAAGTTATTGTTCAAGTTACGGTGAAAATTAAAAGTTATTGACTGCGCGCATTTTACCTATTTGAAACAAATTTTTGCCTTAAAAAGGCAATGAACTTTAACGGATATTCAATTAGCCTCTCTTAGCTACAATCCTGGACAAAACCATCTGCGACACTCTATTAAAACATTCCTTTGTGGATTTTTTTACCAGTTAGACCGGAATAATTTACTCGTTTGCCCCCCTCCACTCCCCAAAACAATGTTGGACGTTTTATCCGTATTCTACGAATGCAGTCAACATTGAATGGTGGGGGAAAGGGGGAGGTTTTCTAAATTTACGATAATATTAGGACATTTTGTCAAGTAATTGGAAGTGTCGCAGATGTTTTGTCCAGGATTGTCTGAAATGAGTCGAAATTATATTCTTTTATATTTCTCTTTTTATACATGTCCTTGCCAGGTATTTCGTTTATGCGCATTGCTTATGACCTACTCATATTGATAGGAGTTACACACTCAGTCTATACATAAACGCCAATGTGTGTGATATCCAGTAGAACTAAGGGACAATAAATTCAATATAGTCACGTTTCTGGTATTTACTGCATATAACTAGAATATTAAGTGACAACTATATTTTTAAATGTGAATTATGCATTTTGACACAAGTTTTCCAGGTGTGGTCAATCAATGCTCAATTTTTCAGTGTAACCCCTAACGGTGTACCACAGCCAATGCACTAAAATTGTGATAATATTCCCAGTTAATATAGGGGTAATGCAAACCAATCAAATGGACTTGAAAGAACGTGTGTTGCTTAGTATTCCAACCTACTTCAGACAATATTTAGCGCGATAATTTTAAAATATTCTACGGTGTACCATTTTAACCCTACAAAAGGTTATATATATATATATATATTCTTATATGTTCACGCTGTACCGTGGTACACCGTCAATGCGCATGCGCTATTAATTATACGACAATAACAAAATCGGATTAGTCATTTAGCGCGGCGGTCACGCAATATATTTCCAGTCAACAGCTAAGCGTTTGTCTGTCTAACAACACAAATAAATATGGATTAACGTATTTTAGAATATTCTTAGTGCAGAATAATTGGTATATACACTACTAAGTACATTGACTTGCTCTCCGACGTATATTAAATGCGTTAAAGTCGTCGCATATGATTCTTAATCGCATTCTATACAAGCTATCGAAGCATAGCGTTGCATGAGGGTGTTATATTACCTTGTCGACCGTGTGGTATTTGCTTCTTGAAGCCTAATACATTCTAGTGGGCCATATTTACTACGGAAAGAGAAAGTCCTGCATAAAACACAATTTTTAATGCGCAATGTCTTGGTTATTGGATTTGAAAGATACAGACAATCCTGGACAAAACCATCTGCGACATTCTATTAAAACATTCCTTTGTGGCTTTTTTTACCAGTTAGAACGGAATTATTTACTCGTTTGCCCCTCTCCACCTCCCAAAACAATGATGGACGTTTTATCCGTATTTTACGAATGCAATCAACATTGAATGGTGGGGGAAAGGGGGAGGTTTTCAAAATTTACGATAATATTACGACATTTTGTCAAGTAATTGGAAGTGTCGCAGATGTTTTGTCCAGGATTGTAGGTCCGGAAGTGTCGCAGCCGAGAGGAGGTGGGTGGATCCCAAAAAATTTCAGCGCCGTCCTTCCTTTTCGGTGGAAAATCGCAAATGCTCAAAAAGATACCGATTCTGTGCTATTTTTATACTGTCTGACAATCAGTTGGTGTATATGAATGACTAACTGCATGATCATCTCATGCATAAATATTCAAAGTATATGGTATTGTGAGAGAAAACTCCCAGTGAGAATAGTAATATATTCTCACTGCTCTTCGCACAATACCTTTGACTGAGGGAATTCAGATTGGGGATAAATAATTTCCAGCCCCGGGGGACTCCGGCTCCTTAAACAGCACCATAGGCAGAAAATATTACAAAGACTCCATGACGATCAGACTTCAAAAGCGAGAATATTCCCTCTCTCTCTCCAATACTCAGAAAAACCCCTCACTTGGAAAATGATGAAAAGCTAAAAGACTGCTCTTAAAGCAATATTGTGAAACAAGCACGTTACATCACCAAAAGCGTCTTAACACGCACGATAAATATGTTAAGTTATAAATGGAATGTTGCATGCCTGGTACCCAAAGAACATTACCACGTTGCTTTACCCAATATGAGGTATATTGCCACACCAAAGCCAGGGGCGGATCTAGGGGTGATCAGAGCGATCACGCGACTAAGATAAAAATTGGCCAAAAAAATAGAAAATTGTTAAATTAAAATTGCAGTCCAGTTATCAAACTTCGCGCTGTGTAATGTATAGTAAGTTTAACAGTCCAGTTTTGAAATATCATTCAGTAGCAAGGCCTTCGAACATGAACGCGCAGAAAAGCGGTCTTACGCATGAGTTTTGCACGCTCTGAGTCATATTCCAGCCATCTGATTGGCTATCTCGATTTTTACGCGTTTTGTGGGGAGTTCTGATCGCTAAAGCGATCAGGGGCTTGAATACAGGCTATCCGATTGGCTAATTCAAAACAATCCTGAATTTCCATTGGCTGGATTTTTTTGATCAATCATACCGTTCAGGCTTTATTAGTGCACGGAAAGGTCTATGACGTTTCTGGCCCTTTCTGCTCGCTACTTTGTGCTTGACCGAAAATTATTAAAGTTCAATGGGAAGATTTACTATCAGAAATTCTGAACTAATACTAGCCATGCCTGTTAGTATTTACGAAACCGTAAAGGCTGCTTTAGAGAATGACGATCGACAATATATCAAAGATATTGAAGCTGATTTAAACAAGCGAGTAACGGTGTACCGAAGCTTTCTATTAAAGATTTATTGAGCGTTGTGAATAACATAAGCAGCCTTCCTCGCACGAAATTTTGGTGCGGAACCTTACATCCTGAAGTACGTTCGAGAGAAGACAAAAATCTTTTGTACGGCCCTAAGATAAATATATTCTATTTTAACTAGATATAGCATTATAACTGTTGTATACTGTGGTGGATTGTGCGTCAGTGTACGCACATGCTATAATATCGGCGGGTACGGCCGTACGAGTATAAGACGTATAATAATACGAGACGAAATTTACATAATATTTCCGCCAATTTACATAAATACTGCGGCTTAATACAGGCAGTTTCAGTGTGTTTATACTTTGTTTATGCTTCTTGTGACACGTGGAATTTATATATTAATCAGATATGACTTAATAACACTGTATTATTTATACCTATTTTAAACTACAAGAACACGACAATGTAGCATGGCCTTGTGTAATACGATCTCTACAACATGTATACAACAAGTAAAATGGATCATGTTGCCATTGTGAATACTTATTCATGGCGCATGTTTCTGATACGAATGAAACTCGAGGAGCAGTGAATTAAACGTGGAAATTCTCTTCCTGCTTAACAATCAAAATTTAAACTGGATCACTATATTGCAAAATGTTTTGACCATCCATGTCAAAGGAAAATATATGCGATTAAATAACAATTTTTAAAACGTCGAGTCATCCTTGTCAATCTATTTCTCGAGGAGAATTGGATATCTGTTTGACATTGGGCGAAAAAGCAATTTTTTAAGTTACATTTTTTCTTAAACAGAACACATATAAAGAATATTAATTTGCTTGGCAACCCCCACCCCCCTCGGCCCCCCGTGAAAAGTATCCCCCTCCCCCAGTCAAACGTACTGTACCCCCCTCCCCCAATGTTCAGCAACGAAATTTTTGACAAACGTACGAAAAATCCTAGATCCGCCCCTGACCAAAGCATATCGTGCACTTCACCCAAAGCGAGCTTTTGTTTCGCATCACCAAATGAAAGCTAGCTTGCCCCACCAAAGGAATATCGTACACTTCGCTTCACACAAAATGAGCGTTTTATGTAATGACAAAATTAAATCATACCTCACCAAAGACCGATCTTACACGTTACTGCACCCATGAAAACAAACACAAAGCTAGCCTTGCCTAATAAAAAACAAACAGTTTCACCCAAAGCACGCGACTGCAAATGCATTCATGCTTCACCGAAAAAAAACTATTAAACCATGCACGGCCCAACGTTTAAATAAGAATAATACTGAAGGGCCTCACCAAAAGCTACCATGCATATACTCTTCAACATGCAAGAAACAAGGGAAGAATACTGAATTACCGCACCAAAAGCAACCAAACCATACAACGCGGAAGTACGAATAAGACTGAGTCGCCTCACCAAAAGCAACTGTAGAGACAAACGTGCAAGTAACAATAGTAATGGACGGAGACAAAACCTGAAAAAGACGGCGCTTCTGGTTAGGAATAGGGACCGTTAGAATGTAGGACGGCAACGCAACGGCGATGGCCAAAATAAAATCCTTGAAATAATTTTATGGAAAACTTGTCGTGTAATATTATTTGTTGTACAAATTTATAATACGGTTTTAGGAGTATCAGACTGAGGTATATATTAAAGAAAACTTCTACTAAGCCAGTTTACCGAGTACGGCTACTGGCGAGTGGTATACAAGACGTAAAAATCATTAGTTTGCTGTTGTAAACAGAGTGAGGACGACGTCTAAAACTCCCAAGGGACTTTTAATTATTCATTGCTCAATAACGCTATCATAAAGTCCTTGCTTATATTAAAGGCCGTCGCCGTCTTGCTAGCTAAGGGTCCCTAATAACGGTACAGCTTGACAAACACAACAATACTACCAAAAAGCTAAGTGTCACCTTAGAACGAACAGCGAGGGGCATGCCGGCATGGGCCTACGAAAACAAAAAATCAAACAAAATGCCGAACCGAAATTGTAATTTAAGTGTGAAATAACAGACGATTTCGTTGGATAATGCGCGTGCATTGTGACGCAATAATGCACTATGATCTGTGTGCTGTGGCACTGCTGCCACTGCGTGCCCATTGCCTTGCTCTTTCTCTGTTTTCCCCCCTCTTCATCACTGCTTTTTAGCCAAAAATATAAACAAAACTATACACAGAGCTTTTAAAATACAAAATTTACCAGAGAGCAAGATCTAGCCGGGAACAGATCAAAGAAACAAAGCAATTTTCTATAGTTCTACATGTACAATTAACCGGCTTGGCATTCGTCGAATTTGTTGTTGTCTCGACAAGTTTTGGGTAAAAGCGTGCAAAATAGCCGAGAAAAAACAACTTGAAAAAGATACAGGAATACAAAATACATATTATACAAAAAGATAGGCAACAAAATCTGAATATAAGTGATTTAGAAAGTAACTTCAATTCTCCTGATCACAACTGCTAGATATATTTTCGGCCAAAGACAAAAAATACAATAATTTCAAAAATTAAAACTGAGTATAAACACGACAAAACCTACGTTTTACAGTCTTTCATGGGAAATCCAGCAGTCCAAATGCTAAAAACTTTGCCAAATTAGTCTGTGTATCACTGGGGTTTTTTATTTCCACTATTTTAAACAAGCATCAAAAGATTGTATTGTTTTGGCAATTTTGCTCCTTCGCGGCTTCGCTCGCTTAAAAATTCAAGCGACAGTCAAAGCATGCGCGTGACGTCACTGAGTACATGTTAGGAGAATTTCAACGTCGATCGTTTGAGTAAAATTGTTTACAATGTAATATCTTCTACTTATATTGTAAAAGAAATAGAAAAAATCCGTCTCGTGCGTTTATAGTGCGATAATTCACTTGGGAAATGTCGGGAGAATACTCGAGAAGCGTGTAAACCACTCGGCTACGCCTCGTGTTTTACACGCTTCTCTTGTATTCTCCCAACATTCTCCGCGTGCATTATCACACCGTAAACGCACGCGACTCGTTTTCTATTTCTTAAACAGCGTATGTGGATATAGCATAAGACTAGAAATACATGCATGCAACAACCCCTCGCCTATATTTTCCAAACATTGTTTCAACATGAAGTATTCATAATTACGCCAACACTGAACGCAGGCTCGCGTTGTATGTCATGTTAGTCATGTACGTCAACACAAATCACGATTTATTAAATTTTTGTGCAAAGCTGCAAAAAATAGATGAAGCTTGAACACTTTTAAATACACAACTATCAATTTCTAAAATATATAAAGTAGGTATATTATTTTGGTTTCTATGGGCTTTATTTTAATGTAAAATTCAAAACGAAACTCTGTGAATTGAAATCGACTGCTTTTTGCAGATATTTATATATAATAATCTCTTCAACTCAAGCTTCTATTTATTACTCGCACTTTGAAAGGAAATAAATTTAATTCGTACAGGACGCTAATGAAAATAATTTGCTTTCTTTTTTATAATGAACTTCTACAAAGGTTAATTTAACAAGAAACGTTCGCAAACAATGCATAGGGAATACTTGAACATCAAGAACAAAGTCCACATTAATACAAAGTCATACATAAACAGTCGAAACAAACTTGCCCTATACTTTTGGATTTCTCATATTAAATCAATTCTTATAAATCGGTTTACGTTTAAAAATGGTAAAAAGTTTTGCAATTTGTTATGTGAAACGATTTTCCAAGCTTTCCGACGGCATTTTTTACATTTGTTGCCTCTTCACTCCTGGCAAACAGCCATATATTTTTAGATCATCAGATTAGTGAGATGACCACCCACCGAACCACTCACGGTAACCCACGCCCACGATTATATTGATGAACTTTCCCGGGTGTAAATAGCCGGGGGGAATCAATACACTCGCACGGCGTCACACCGTCGGCTCGGAGACAAAAGCTCAAAGCACAGGCCAGTGTACGCGTCACTCAATTGAAAACAATACTTAACCGCAGAGTTAAAGGAAACGTAATTGCCCCACCAAGAGCAATAGAACAAAACAATGATAGATGTGCCTCGTGACGCAAATATAGGTCAAAATATATTCGCCTCACCAAATATAATAGTGCGAAACTAAAGGATTTGCTTCACCCAAAGCGAAAATTCAAATTGCTTCGCCAAAAGCAATAGATTGAATGCATGTGCCCGTCACCAAAAACAATAGCTCAAACAGACGCGTGCGTCTACAAAACAAAATACAGAAGTGCATGCATAGGCTTCACCAAAAGCCGAATAGCTAAAATTAATGTCAGTATTTGCTTCCCCAAAAGCAAAAAATTAAAGTCACTTGCTTCATCAAAACAAAAATCCCAACGTCCCAGCGGGCAAAATGACGTTTATCCAACGTTGACTCAACGTTGGAAATGACCTTCCAGACGTTGGAAAGACGTTGAAAAAGGGTTGACTATGCAAATTGGATCGACGTTACTGTTTCGACGTTGAAACAACGTTGAAATTAGGTTGCCAATCTCGTCAACCATAATTCAACGTTGAATCGACGTTAAAACAACGTTGAGATTGGTTCACAAATCGACGTCGTACATTTAACCATGAATGAACGTCAATTCAACGTCTGTTGGCTGCTGTTGAACCAATGTTTGTAAAACAACGTCAGAGCAACGTAGATATTAGGTTGTCGA